GTAGATCTCTTTTTAGTTTTAAGAGGAATCTCCATAATTTTTCCATAGTGGCTGCACCAATTTGCAGTCCCAGCAACTGTATACAAGTGTATTACAGATGTCCCCCATTTTACTCTCTTTGATGCCCTGTACCTAGCCCTTGCCCCACGCCAGGCCTTCCCCACACTATTGTCTGTGTCCATGGGCTGTGCATATATGTTCTTTGGTTAATTTCTTCCCGTCAACCTACCCCCATAACCAATAACCATTCTGACTGGTGTGAGGTTGCATCTTTTGTGTTTTCCTGATGAGTATAATGTTGAGTATCTTTTCATATGGGTGTTGGCCATCTTCTTTGGAGAAATCTCTCTTCATGTCTTCTGCTCATTTTTTTTTTTATCATATTGCTTACTTTCTGTAATTGAGCTGTATGGGTTTCTCATATTTGGGGGATAAACACCCTTATCAGGTAAATCATTTGTTAATATATTCTCCCATTCAATAGGTTGTCTTTTTGTTTTGTAGATAGTCCCCTTCACTGTATAGGAGCTTTTGAGTTTGAAGAAGTACCGTTTGTTTATTTTTGCTTTTGTTTCTCTTGCTTGAGGGGACATCCATAAAAATATATTATTCAGTCTCAAATCAAATAGTTTACCACCTTTGTTTCTGACCTTTTTATTCTGTCCCAGAGATCTGTAATGATGGGTTCATGTCATTACATATTTGTCCAAATGCATAGAACATACACCAACAGTGAACCCTAATGAAAACTGTGGATACTGAGTGATAATGATGTGTCTCTGTAGGTTCATTGATTGTAAGTGTACCAGTCAGGTGCACGTTTTGATACTGGGGAAAGTTATGTCCCTGGGGGAGCAGTAGTATATGCGATTGCTCTGTACTTAACTGCTCAGTTTTGCTATGAACCTAAAACTGCTCTAAAAAACCAAAAGATATTTAAAATAAAAAGGAATCCAGTTTGTCGATTTCTACCTTTTAATTGGTGCATTTAGATGATTTGTTTTTAATATGGTTAGAATTAAACCTATCATCATACTTGTTTTCTATTTGCTCATCTGTTTGTCTTACATTTTTCTTTTTTAAAGTCCTATTTTAAGTTAAGTGAGCATTTCATGGTTCCATTTATCCCCCATGTAGGCTTATTAGCCATGATTATTTGGATAGGTACATTAGGGTTTATATTTGATGCTTCTGAAACTTAGCACAGTCTATCTTTAAGTAATATTGTACAACTTCATATGTAAATTTAGAATCTCACAACAGTTTATTTATATTTTCCCCATTGCTTGGGCTATTTTTGCCCAGGAAATTAATTTTACATAACTTAAAACTACATAATGCATGCTACGAATTTTTGCTTCGCACCATCAATTACACATACAAATTTAAACATAAGAAAGCAATTATCTTATATCTATTCTCATATCTACAATTAACAGCATTGATTACTCATTTAGGTGGGCCATATTACCATTTACTTTTATTTTTCTTATGCCAGAACATATTCTTAACATTTCTTGTAGTGCATATCAACGGATGATGAATTATTTCAAATTTGGTATCTATGAAAAGCTTTTATTTTAGCTTCATTTAAAAAATATTCCTTGAGTATAAAATTCTGAATCGAAAGTTATTAATTATTTCACAGTTTTAAAGATGGCATGCTGTTTTCTTCTGACTTGCATTGCTTCTGATGAGAAATGTCCTGTAATTCTTATCACGTGTCCTCTAAATTATTCTGTATTTTTTGTTTCATTTGTTATATTTTTTTCTGGCTTACTGCTTAGAAGATAGGGTAACTAGTTGGGGGCGCAAAATAGAAAACTGTCATGTATGCACATCATGATTTAGCTGTATATAACAACTTGATAGCATCTGAAAAGCAAAAGAATCAGTGAAAACAATTAAAACCAGGATGCACACGTACTAGTATACTTGATGAATTACCTAGAAGCCAATTGGCTCTCCCACCTGAATATCTATAAACCCCCGCCCTCCCCTCCAAAAAAAATCATAAAGCTTTAAGTCATGGCATCACGGGTCACACAGGACACTGATTCCCTAGGGAAGGGAAACTAACACAAGGTGAGCCCTCAGATGGGTGAGCCCGGTTCTCCCAGCTTCTCGCCTGGATAGAGTTTACAGGCTGTAGCACAGGGAGATTGAACACAAACAGAGCCCAGTGGATAATCTGAGCGAAGGACACAGAGCTGAGGATTCCGGGAGGCCAATGTGCTGGGAGTGATGGAGGGGAGAGAGTTGGCTCTGGAGAGCTGCAGAGGTTTCCCATCTGGGTGCAGTGTATGAGAGAGAGGGAGTGGTGGTAGTTGACTTCCAGTTCCTGGAGTGAGTAGTTGTGTGGAAAATGTTGCCATTTACTGAGAGTGTGAAGATGGGAGTTTTAAAAACAAGAGGGATGGTGGGGGGTGAGTGTGTGGAAGGGGTGGGTAATACTGGGTCTAGACAGACTTTCCATGAAGATCCCTTGAGACATCCAAGTGGAGGTGTCATGTGGGAGAGTGACTATATGGATCTGGATCCCAAAGGTGAAGGACAAACTGGGGATATAGATTTTGGAGTTATTAGCATATTAGCATATATGGTTGCATAACTTATAGCATATAGAGAGAGGCGGATACAAAAGGGAATGTGGTCAAAGTTGGGAACATGAGAAAAATTTGTAACTATGTGTGGTGACAGATGTTACCAAGACTTACTGTGGTTTTGTTGTTGTTGTTGTTTTAAATATATTTTTATTGATTTCAGAGAAGAAGGGAGAGGGAGAGAGAGTTAGAAACGTCAATGATGGAGAGAATCATTGATCAGCTGCCTCCTGCACGCCCCACACTGGGGATCGAGCCCACAACCTGGGCATGTGCCCTGACCTGGGCATGTGCCCTGACCCGGAATTGAACCGTGACCTCCTGGTTCATAGCTCCATGCTCAATCACTGAGCCACGTCGGCTGGGCCCTAGACTTGTTGTGATGATCATTTCACAATATATACAAATATCGAGTCATTATGTCGTGCGCCTGAAACTAATATAATGTAATATGTCAATCACGTTTCAATAAAAATTAAAAATAAAATGGAAAGCAAAAACGAATATAAAAGTCCACTACGGTTTTTGTTAAAAAGCACAGGTCGATTTGAGACAGGAACACAGCATTTTCTATCAGCATATGGCGGTTTGTTAAGGCTTTCGTGTCTAGGGTCTGCTCACCTCCCACAGAAACGTGTTACTCAGGAAGGGCTGAAGAGACGCAGGCAGCTGACAAGGGCGGTTGCTATGCAACAGCAGAGGAAAGCCATTCAGCCAGGCAGAATTGATATTGGTCACTGGAGAGTAAAAGCTGTGGTCCTAGCAATGGTTTCTATTCATACACAGGAGTCCTGGAGAGGCTGATATGAAAAAACGCACATAGCCCTAGCTGGTGTGGCTCAGAGGACAGAGCGACAGCCTGCGGACTGAAAGGTCCTCGGTTCGATTCCAGTCAAGGGCACATGCCAGGGTTGCGGGCTCGATCCCCAGTGGGAGGCGTGCAGGGGGCAGCCGATCAATGATTCTCTCTCCTCACTGATGTTTCTATCTCTCCCTCTCCCTTCCTCTCTGAAATCAATCAATTAAAAAAAAAAGGCACATAACAGTGAGTAAGGTCTGTGTAAAACGTGCAGCTTCCATTTGAGATGAGAACATAGCATTTCCTGCCTCCAAAGCAGTCTCTCCAGTCCTTGGGTAGGACCCTAGGAAGTGCTCCTTGTGCTTCCCATTTTGCATATGGAGAAGAAACTGGGCTCAGAGATGTCCAGTGACCTGAGCAGGCTCACACAGCTAGAGGCAGACTGGCCAGGCACTCCATCCCTGGAATTCTGAAGCCCAGCCCAGCTTCTCCCTGCAAGACCACAGCTGCCCCAGGCCCCAGCCCTGGAAGGAACCAGGACAAACATTTACTCTGAATCGGGGCTTGCCATGGCTCAGACACACAAGTGCCTGATTGTCCTGGCCGCTCCAGTGGGCACCAGGAAGGCCTCAGGGGAAAAGGCCTGACCGTGGGAGTGGGGAGTGGGGAGTGGACCCCGGGGAGCAATTCCCACACCTGGATGGGTCCACATAGAGTGGGCAGGGGTGGGGCTGGGGCCCTCCACCCGTGTCCTCCCGGGTGCAGAGCAGGAGCTTAGGCCTCAGAGAAGGCAAACCTTGCTTGTGTGGGACAGATGTTGACAGGGCAGGGCAGGTGGGTGGTGGAGCTATGGCTGAAACTGAAGAGGGGGAGGAGGCCTGGGTCCCCAGGCCAGCGCCAGGGGAAGGCGGGGCCCAAATTCTGCATCTCCGTTTCCTGGCTCTTGAGCCTCCTGTAACCAGTTCATGCAATGTGTCTGTGCCTCCGCTTTCTGATCTGTAAAATGGGGATGCTGGCTTCCACCTCCCAGGGCAGCCTGGACAGGAAGGCAAGCCCGGCACAGATCTGGCTGTGATGTACAAGCTGCATGAAGAGTGCTTGAGGAAGCAGATGTTCCCAGGGTGCCTGGAGGCCACAGAGATGGATAGCGGAGGGGAACACAAAGGGAACTGGCATGCTCTGGCCATTTACATTTCCCTTGTTGCTAGAGACCTCTGTATTTGTGACCCAGGGGTCATGCTGCGGAACCAGGGCACAGTGGGTTCCAGACCACCCTGGGAGGGGGGGCTGAGGCGAAAGGTGGTGGGCAGAGCTGCAAAAGTGGGGGCTACTGAGGGCAGATGACTGGGCGGGTGTGAGCGCGCGCTCCTGCAGTCTGAAGCAGGGGTGGAAAGGGGAATCCGGCGGGAAGGAGAAAACGCCCCCACCCCCCTCCCCACCCCCCACGCCCTGCAGCCCGCACACCCGCGGAATCGCATGCGCACTGGGGACCTGGTGGACAGGGCTTTTGTTGGGAGAGCGGGCGGGCTGAAGGGGTCGGCGCATGCGCAGGCTGCCCAGCCGCGGGGGGTGTGCAGAGAAAAGGGGCGGGGTGGTCGGAGCTGCTGTGCTGGCAGCAGCAGGCGAGGGCGCGGCTGCGGGGTTCCTGGTGCTGAGGAGCGACGCCATTGGAGCCCCAGGGAAGGTAAGGATCCAGCCCGAGACAGGACCTGGAGCGGGCGAGTGGACCCCTGCACGCTGCGCCACTCCTCCCGGGACAACGCACCCCACCCCCCTGCAACGCTCCCCCCGCCCCCCCTCCCGGAGCTGAGCAGAACCCAAGCACTCCGAACCCGAACCAGGACCACGTTAGACCCGTGGTTTAGATAGGAGCCCCATCCTCCCCATCTTCAGACCCAGGCTCCGGGGATCCGAGCCCTGGTGACACCGGATCCCACCATTGGACCCGTGTGTTCGGGCTGAGCTGCGTTAGAAACAGGCCCCATCCCCACCCAACCACTCCAGATCACTCCCTTCCCTGGCGTTGCAATCCTGCGTTTGGAGACCCCCAGCTTCTAATTGGAGCCTCACCTAGTCCTAGCCGCCCTCCCTGCCCCCCCCCCGCACCCCCCGCACCCCCTCCATCTCCCATCTGCCCCTAGCGTTCCTGTGTGAGCCCTACCTGAGCTGACCGGAATCCCCCGAATCCCTCCCACCCGGACCTCGCCAAAGGGTCCCTGGGATTCAGAGCTTTCCGTGCTCCCCATGTATCTGAGCCCTCACACCTCTTTCGGCTCCCCCTTCATCCTGACTCCTTGCTCCAGCCTTTAAATTGGGGCCCTTTGTTTCTCCTATCAATGCATCCATCATCCCCTTTGGGGTTTCTTCAGCCCCAAGCCCGCCGGTCCACCTCTCCATTCAAATCGAGCCACCGGGATGGGGAGCCTGCCTGGACATCAACTCCCCTTTTAATGCGGAGGGGTGTGTGTGGGGGGGGGGCGGGAGCGGGAGGAGATCTCCTTGGACCTCCTCTATCCCGCTCTTAGGGCTCTGTCTCTGACAGAATCTACCCCAACAGATTTCACCCCCACCCCTTCTGCCCAGTAAGGGGGGATGATGGCTGCCTGTCCCCCTCCCCCCAGCTCCTGAGAAATCCCACCTCCTGAGAAATCCCACCTCCTGAGAAACCCCGCCTCCACTGGGTCCCTCCTCCTCCCTCTGAAGAGGCCTCTCCCTCCCTCTCAGGCTGAGCTCTCTTCTTGGGACCCAGCATGGCTGAGGGAAGCTCCCCCATGGAATCAGAATGCTGCAACGTTGAAGACATGGAAGACGGTCTTGAAGAAGTTAGGGAGTACGAGATGTTTGACGGAAATGAGTATGAAGAATTTGGTGCTTTCGGAGGCTATGGCACCTTCACCAGCTTTGACATTCATCTCCTCCGAGCCTTTGGGAGCCTGGGTACAAGCCTGCGTGTCTTGGCGGTGAGGCCCCTTCTTGGCCACCTGCTAGCCTGCTAAACTGGGCGGGGGGTTGTATGCAGAGGGGAGTGGATGGAGGGGAGGGCTGATGGGGAAGGACTACCTAGCACTCCAAAGGAAACCTTCCCTTTCCTGCTGGGAGAAAAGGAGTGGGGATGGGGGTGGGGGTCTTGGCGGGGGGTGGGATGGGGGTCTTGGCGGGGGGTGGGGTGGGGGTGCAGGGGGAGGGGGGGCGTGAGGGGGCGGGGGGGAGGGCTGCCTGGCTGGCTGCCTGGCTAGCTGCCTGGAGGAGGCTGGCCAGCACAGGGAAGCATGATGTGCGAGTGTGCAAAGTTGTCTGCCTTCCCCTACCCCTCGCTCTGGCCTTGCAGAATGAGCCCTGGGAACTGGACCACCCTATGCTGGCCCGGACCCTGGTGGATGCATTCCGAGCGGATCCAGAACCAGCTCCCAATGAGGAGGACGATCAGTCTGGCAATGCAGGCCGAGGTGACTCCAACCGTGCTGCTCGGACGGCTGCCCGGGCGGCTGCCCGGGCCGCTGCTGCTGCTGCCCGTGCCCTCTACAACCAGGTGGTCACTAGCCGCCCGATGGCCACAGACCAGGCCTCGAGAGAAGATACCCAGGCCATGGCATCTTCTCCGCACAGCTCCCAGATGCCAGGCAACAGTGAGATGGCTGCCTCTGGGGCGCCAGCAACCTCCTCACAGCCCCAGCCAGGCTCCCAGGCCCGGGAGGCTGCTTCCTCTCGGGCTCCAGGTGCCAGTGAGGTGGATGCCACCCAGCCCAAGAAACCCTTTCTGGGTCAGAATGATGGCTTTGATTTCACCCAGCCGGCAGGTGTCAGTGGCATAGCCTTCCCACGCCCCAAGAGACCCGCCCCGGCCCCAGAGCCTGCCCCCGAGGGCCCCAGTGCTCAGGCAGCATCTGCTGGGGAGGGGGCAGCCACCAGGCCCAAGACCGCCAAGTCTGGGAAGGCCCTCGCTAAGACTCGGTGGGTGGAGCCTCAGAATGTGGTGGCAGCAGCTGCTGCCAAGGCCAAGATGGCCACAAGCGCCCCTGAGCCTGAGGGTGCAGCTGCCACTGCTCAGAACAACCGCGATGAGCCCTGGGCCAGGATGGGAGGCAAGAGAACAAAGAAGGTGAGATCTCCCTGCCCTCTCCAAGCCCCAATGGTCCCCTCCCCTGCCCTCCCCTCCCCTCCAATCCCCTCCACTCTCCTCCCAACCCCTCCCCTCCTATCCCCTCACCCTCTTTGCTTCCCCTCCTCTCTCTTCCTTTCCTTTCCCTTCCCCTCCCCCCCCCTCCCCTCGCCTCCCCTCCTCTTCTCTCAACTGGTCCGAGTTTCTATAACACAAATGTGCTAGCCTGTCTTTACTCCACCTAGTCCCTACCCTCCGGCCTGGGGGTAGAAGAGGTTGGCTCAGTGCTTGGCACTTAGTGAGCCCTCTGCACACGTCACCCGCTGTCCCTACTACTCTTATTTCCAAGTACCTGCTGTGGTGAAGATGTTGCCAGGGGCTTGGGCACAGTAAGCTTGGTAGCCCCGGTCTCTCTTCTCCCCAATGCTACAGTCCAAGCACCTGGATGATGAGTATGAGAGCAGCGAGGAGGAGAGAGAGCCTCCTGTGGTCCCACCGACCTGGAGAGCATCGCAGCCCCCACTGACAGTGCGGGCTCAGATGGCCCCGCGGGCTCAGATGGGCCCTCGGCCCCCGATGGCCGTGAGGCCCCAGGTACCCTCGAGGCACATACTGTGCTTGCCACCCCGCAACGTGGCCCTTCTGCAAGACAGGGTAAGGAGTCTGCCCTTCCCCCACCCTCTCCTCCTGCCTTGCCGGCCAGTTCATTGAGCTCACCCGTGCCCTCACCTCTCCTTCTCCAGGCAAATAAGTTGGTGAAATATCTGATGATTAAGGACTACAAGAAGATCCCCATCAAGCGCTCAGGTGGACAACTGGGCCCCATCCCTGAGCTCTGCCCTCTCTCCTCTTCCAGTCCTCCCCAGTGCCCCCAGCCCCATCAGATGCTCCCAGTTATCAGGCCTTGGCTGATGGGTCCTGACTGTGCCCCCCTCGGCAGGGCTGACAGAGAGGCCGCAGCTCTTGGCCTTCTGCTCAGCCCAGATGCTTTCCTTACCTCTCCCCTCCTGCAGACATGATGAAGGACGTCATCCGAGAATATGACGAGCACTTCCCTGAGATCATTGAGCGGGCGACATACACCCTGGAAAAGGTGGGCTGGGTGGGGGTGGGGGACAGTTCTCTGTGGGGCAAGAGAGGCAGGGAAGCCTTGCACCCTGCAGCCTTGGAGGCCCGGTGTCAATCCTGCCTGCTCCGGAAGCCTTGCCTAGCTTCTCCACCTGAGAGCTCCCACTGCATACTTCCTCCTCCTCACTTCCTCCCCCTTCCTCGTGCTCTTGGGGGTCTCTTGTCTCCCGAAGTGGGTCCCCTTGCCTTGGCCAGTGCCCGGGCTCCCACAGGCCAGTGCCTCTGCGTCGTCCCCCAGGACTTTGGGTTCCCTGCCTAGGAGATGTTCTGGCGGGAATGGAGTGACTGCCTGCAGGACACCTGGCTTGGATTTCTGACCTCACATTCTTGTGTTCCCCCCCGTGCAGAAGTTCGGGATCCACCTGAAGGAGATCGACAAGGAAGAACATCTGTACATTCTCACCTGCACGCGGGATTCTTCAGCTCGCCTCCTGGGAAAGTGAGAAAGGGCAGGAGGGTTGTGGCCTTCCCAGGGGGTGCCTCCCCCTCCTCTCAGAGAAACAGGAAGACAGGGCCCGAGGGCCCAGCACAGTGCCCACCCCATAGGGCGTGGTGCCAAGTGATTATCAGAGGGGACCAAGCCTTGCTGCACTCAGGGTCCCACCCCCGCCCACCCGCTCCCCTCGCTCCAAGAAAGCAGGCTTCTGGCTGCTTCCCTCTTCATGCTAAGTGCCTGGCCTGGGTATGGCGGAGCGGTTGGTCCTGGGGGAGGTTCCTGTGCGGTGTAGGTCCCCGGGCCAAAGGGCAGGGAAGGTGTGGATGAGCCTCTGGACACACCTCTGGCAAAGCCTTTGCTCCCCCTGCCTAGCCCCTCCGTCCTTGGCAGAATCCCCCCCTTGGGTGGGGGTGTTAGCATCCACATTGGATGGCTGGAGCGGTGCAGCCTCAGGCGGAGGAGTGAGTTGTCTGGATCAGGTAGCAAGCCATGGGCAGAGTGGGAAGAACTGCCCTGTAGTGGAGCCATCTGGGAGAGGCCGGTTGGCTGAGCTGGGTGTGTAGTCTCTTGGGCCAATGGCTGCTGGACAGGGTCCCTCTTTGTACACCTTTAGGACCAAGGACACGCCCAGGCTGAGTCTTCTCCTGGTGATTCTGGGAGTCATCTTCATGAATGGCAACCGTGTCAGCGAGGGTGAGTTGCCGGACCCGCAGCTGGGGGGTTGCCCCCTGTCTCTCCTTCGTGTTCTAAATTCTTGTACCTCATCTGCCCTGGCAGCTGTCCTCTGGGAGGCACTACGCAAGATGGGACTGCGCCCTGGGTATGATTGGACTCCCTGGGCTCTCGCTGCCCCTCAGCATTGTCCTGGGGTCCAGGAAGCCCCAGGATCCCACCAGCCCGACGGTCTGGTGCAGGGGAGTGGGCGTCCTCGACCAGGCAGAGCGCACAGGGTCTCACCAGGGTGCATGGTGAAATGGTCCTGAACTCTGGGCCCCCTCTCTGCTCCATGTCCCCTCTCTGTCCCCCAGAGGAGATCTAAGACAAAGCACCAGACTCCGGGGCTCCTTCAAACCCCTTTGTAGGCCACTGCTGCGGACCAGTGGCCGTCAGACCCCTGCATGCCCAGGCCTCACGGGCCAGGAAGCTAGCTCTCAGTCCTGGTAGGGAGTGCTCCGGCCCACATCGGGCACTGCCGCCGGCTCTAGTCATGGACTCTTTCCTTGCCCTCAGGGTGAGGCACCCATTCCTTGGCGATCTGAAGAAGCTCATTACAAACGACTTTGTGAGGCAGAAGTAAGTACTGACCGAGTCACCTCTGTCTCACACTGGTGCCTTCCTTGTGTGCGGGTCTGGCTGAGGAAGCCACTCCCCATCCTGGCTCTTTGCTCTAGAGGGATGGAGTCTCTGGGGTGAGAGCGGGTGGGGGTATGTGAGTGCCCGAGGAGGGGGGGGGGAGAATTCCGGGGAAAGGGGGCACATGTGGCCTGAGAACACGGTGCGGGGCGTGTTCCCACCACCACACCACTGAGCACCTGCCCTCACAGGCTGTAGGACAATAGCCCCGGCTTTCCATCCCAGCAACCTGGGGCTGCAGAATGGAGGTCGGAGCTGGGGAAAAACGTGTGCCCTCACACTGGTGCACTAAGAAATGTGCGCGCGCACAGGGTCCGGAGTGTGTACGGAGCGCGCTGCTCTTGCTGGACTGTTTGTTTCTTCCCCTCACAGGGCTGTTCTAAGGTGGACTGTCCCAGGGCTCAGCCAGGCCACGGACGAGACACTGCGGCGGGGTGTGCTCAGAGCAGGGTGCCTGAAAAATGGCTCCTCTGATACAACACACCCAATGGGAACTGGGGTCACTGTGACAAGGGGCACAAAACGTGTGGCCCTCCTGTGCACAAGCACCCTACAAGTGCCCCCCGCCCCCGCCCACACACCTCCCCGTGGTTGCTGGGCAGGGGCCACACACGGCCCGGGGCTTTGAAGGCCTCGGTGTTGGAGGCAGAGCCCCTGGCAGCGAGCTCGGGAGCGGGGTGCCAGTTAGAGGGCCAGGGCGATCGTGGACTCTGAGCTGCAGCCTCGGGGCCCGGAAGGGGCCACCCGGGAGCCATTAGTGCAACAGCCCACCTGCCTGGCTGGCTGGAGGCAAAAGGTGGTTATTTTCCTCTCCACTGAGGTACCTGGAATACAAGAAGGTCCCCAATAGCAGCCCGCCCGAGTATGAATTCTTCTGGGGCCTGCGGGCCCGCTACGAGACCAGCAAGATGAGGGTGCTGAGATTCATCGCCCAGGTAACGGACGGACGGACCGACGGAGAGCCTCTGCTGGGGGGCCAGGCCCAGGGGCTGGCACTTCCCACAGAAACCTTGTCTGTTTCTGGGCCCCGGGCCCCTTGTGCGGTTTGTCTGTCCAGTGAGGGCACTGGGGCTCAGAAAGGTTCCTAGGCGACTCGCCCAGGTTTGCGGGCGGGCGTCGCACGTGCGAGGGGGCAGGGGGGGGGGCGAAATCCCAGGTCTGGTCCAGAATCGGGGGAGCCCGACTCCCGTGGTCTTCACGTTTACTGTGATGACCAACAGTGCACAGGGGAGTGTAGGCCAGGAAGCCGTTCCTCAGTGAGCATGGGGTCGCGCTCGCTCGGGGGGGTTAGGGATGGTTGCTGTTTTTCCACCGCAGTATCAGAACCGAGACCCCCGGGACTGGAAGGCTCACTTCCTGGAGGCTGTGGATGATGCCTTCAAGACTATGGATGCGGATATGGCCGAGGAGCACGCCAGGGCCCAGATGCGGGCCCGGATGAACATCGGAGATGAAGCTCTGATTGGACGGTGGAGCTGGGACGACGTACAGGTGGAGCTCCTGACCTGGGATGAGGACGGAGATTTTGGCGACGCCTGGGCCAGGATCCCCTTTGCTTTCTGGGCCAGATACCATCAGTACATTCTGAATAGCAACCGTGCCAACAGGAGAACCACTTGGAGAGCTGGCGTCAGCAGTGGCAACATTGGTGCGGCCAACGCCAGCCTCATAGATGGCCCTAGCACCAGCTCCACCATCCGGAGCAGAAATGCCGCCAGAACCACTGCCAACTTCTTCTCCTGGATCCAGTAAGGTTTGGGGCCCATAGAGGAGACTCTGAAGGGTGGGCCCGGGAGGGGCCGTGGGCAGTCAGCCAGCGGGAGGCCCGGCGTGGGGAGGGGGCACCACGAGAGTGTGGACAGAGCCTTGTGTTGTTCTTTACATCCCTCCCTGTTTCACCTGTGTTTCTACTTGTCGCTCTTGTGTCCCGTGTCCACAGGCAGCGCTGATGACCTGCAGCAACCGCCCAGCCAGAGTGCCTCCTCAGACCCCGTGTTCACTCCTCAGACCCCGTGTTCACATAGCACTCTCGGCAGCCTCTGCCTGCCCATCGAAGATGGCATGCAAAACGAAGCTCTCTTTGCCCTCCTGCTTTCACTGTGTGCTGTTGTCGTGCTGTCGTGTTTTTGGTATCGGTGTCACATTAAAGATGCAAAATGAAATGGCACGTTTCCTGTGCCCGTGTTGCTCTGCGTGGCCCACGGTCGGCTCTCGGGGGTGGGGGTGGGGGTGGGGGTGGGGGCGGGCTCCCCTCTGCCTAAGAGGCAAGCAGGGCGCTGGGAGATGCGGAGGAGTCTGCGAGTGTGGAGACCATGAGTTTTGAGAGGCTTTGGTCCACATCGTTTCGGGATCGTCTCCACGGTGCAGCGCCAGTTAGGCGCCAAGGGGGGAAGCAGGGGAAGGGAGGGGGTGGAGGCTATGGGTAGGGGCCACTCTTCCTCTCCCCGAGGGGCAGGGTGCACAGTCACCCAGCAGGACCCACCTCCCGGTCCCCACCTCTGGAGGTGCCGGCCCAGAACCCTCCCCTCATCACCCCCCCCCCCCCGCCCCGCCAAGTTCAGGACCCCATCCCTCTGGCGCACCCTTTGGGACGACAATGAGGTAGGCTTCAAGGTAACATTCTCTCCTGTCCAGCAGGTAGAAGGAGGGCCATTGCTACTGAGAGTCGCTTTAATGAAAACTCAGCTGCCATGGACCTGGAAAGCCCATTGCCTGTGGCCCTGACCTGAGGCTTGTTTGGGGCTCTGGATCCCTTCAATGGGAGCAGGGCTGTCCCAGTGAGGCCCAAGGCCAGGCCTAGGTCCAGGTGTCTCCAAAGCCTGGGTGATTCCCCTGGAGGTTGGGGGATGGGGTGGCTGGTTCTGCAGTCCCTCCAGTGGACAACAGCGAGCGCAGAGACACAGAGGGTGCCTGGGTAGGGCTCCGGGGAGGGCAGGGACAGTGGCGGAGCTCCCTCGGGACCACACGTTGGCAGGAGCAGGACCCCAGGTTAAGTGGAGGGACGGACTAGTGAAGGGCCCCTGTCCCCATTGCCTCTTTTCCATGAGAAGAGGGTCTCCTCTCTGCCAGGACTGACCAAGACCCTATTACAGAATTTCGGGGTGGGTGGGGGGGGCACCAGTGGAAAATGCCAACATGGGTCCCCTTGCTCAAAAATTTTTAATATTAAGAGTTCCAAGAGAACATTGAGTGTCATGGGGAGCCTTTCGGAACGCAGGGTCCTACTGCACTGCAGAGGTCGCCCCACCCGCCTCAGGAAAGTGGCTCTGTCCGCACCCCTCCCCTAAAGACAGGCTCCAGGTGGGTTTCTGCCTTGTTGCTCAGTGCTGCCATTTCTGCGCCCCTGGCTGCTGGGTCCCTGTGCGGCCAAATGGAACCTCTGTGATTCTGTAGGAATAGGAGTCCCCTTCACTTCAGGTTTCCAGGTGCACGGCTGAGGTTTGGGGTGGGGGTGAAGGATGCCTGGGGCCCCAGCCCTGCTTGATGAATGATACCTGACATTTCTGCACCCTGGACCTGGGAAACTCCCCAGACCTTGTTGTGCACACAGTAGGCACGTGCCTTTCCATGGATGAATGTGGGGCTCACGACAGCCACAGTGTGAGCCTGAGCACTGTGTGCATGTGCAGAGGGCACTTGAGATACAGCAGCTCATCTGGAAAGGAGGAGAAAGCAGCCATCAGAGACAGGGTGCTGAGGGGGTCCCGAGGCCCCCAGGCCTGAAGGTTGACAGCACTCTCCCCTGTCCACAGCCCTGCCCCATGGTCGGCCTCCCCTGGGGCCCACTCCCCCACAGCCTGCAGGGTGGCCAGGGAGGATGAGAGCAGAGGGGAGGCAGGCAGGCCCTGGGAATGCAGCCAGACTGTGGGTCCCCTGGGATGATCAGGATGGTCACCCTGGAGGTGGCCTACCTCCTCACTCACAGGGCAACCATGACCCCAAGGCAGGCTTCCAACCCCCCAGCCCCAGCCCCAGCCCCGGTTCTTCCACTGGCTCCCCAGCCACAGGGGCCCACAGTGCATCTCCACAAGGGGTTCCTGAGACCCTGGGATGCGGGTGTGGGTACCTGGGCAGCCAGCACAGCCTTTCCTCCAAAGAGCCCTGCACCCTCTGACTCCTCTCACTCTTTTTGGTGGACAAGCATTATCCCCTTGTTTCCAGTTATTGACTATGATGCATAAAGTTCTCTCAATATCCACTTATAATTTCTTGTATGGGCCTAGGGTTGTATTTACCAGACAGCCCTGAGGAGAGGGCATGATCAGACCCATTGCACAGATGAGGAGAGCGAGCTTCTCAGAGCAATGATTAGATGACCCAGGTCAAAATCCTTCTGCATCCATGAGAAAAAGGCAAGCTGCCAGCAGTTTGTACACCCAGTTGGGAATGAGGCTACGGGTTGGAACTTTGAGGGCCAAGTCTCACTTAAAATCGCTATATTGGGGTTGGATGCCCGAGGTTCCAAAGTCCATAAATCTGCTGGCTCATCCCCTCCAGGGAGTGAGTCTCTCCTCAAACCCCAGAGGGTTTGGGGAAAGCAATTAGCCCCGCTCCTGGGAGGTGAGCGGGGTCCTGGGTGTCGGAATGTTTTTAACTCTACCTTAGAGCAATCGTGCAACTTCCCCCTAGCTTGCAGGGGCACATGCCACTGCCAATCTCACAGACAGCTTGAAAGCCCGGTGAGGGGGGTTAAAGGTGTTTGCTCTGGGACGATCCTCGCTGCTGGGTTAGGGTTAAGCGCTCTTAGATCAGCTAAGTTAGTTGTCTGCCTTCCGTCTTCTAATGCTTTATTACTCTGGTCTCCTCAGCCATCCTTTTTGTCCCTTGGGGTGAGGCCTCTAACCAAAAAGGATCTAGCCAGGAGCGAGGGAGGAGGAAGAGAGGGAAGGGAAAAGAATGAGAAAGATCATGTGATACTTATCTTAGCACAAGACTCTCCAGGTCCCTCCATGCTGTCTCAAAGGGTAAGTGCTCCTTCTTTTTTACAGCTGCATAGTCTTCCATGGTGTCAATATACCACAGCTATGTTATCCACTCATCCACTGATGGGCACTTGGGCTGTCTCCAGATCTTGGCTGTTGGAAATTGTGCTGCTATGAACCTAGGGGTGCATGTATTCTTTTTGATTGGTATTTCAGGTTTCTTAGGATATAGTCCTAGAAGTGGGATCACTGGGTCAAATGGCAGTTCCACTTCTTAATTTTTTGAGGAAACCTAAGGAGAACATAAGCAAACGGGAGTACCTCAAGATAAAAAGCTTCTGCACCGCAAAAGAAACCATCAACAAATTGAATGGGATAACATATTTGCCAAGGTATACCTGATCAGGGCTTAATTTCCAAAATATGCAAGGAATTCAAAATAGGTAAGGTAGGAGATGTATTAGCAAACATACTGCTATGAGAGATGGCTGATATTTTGCTGCCTGTGGTTTCTTCTAAGATTTTTTTTTTTTTTTTCATGTCTTACATTCAAGTCTTTCATCCATTTTGAGTGTATTCTTGTGTACGGTCTACATTGGTGTCTAGTTTCATTTTTTTGCATGCATCTGTCCAATTTCCCCATCACTCATATGTGGAATCTAATGAACAAAGTAAACTGATGGACAAAATAGATCCAGAGACATAGAATCATGGAACCGACTGAGGAATGTCAGAGGGAAGGTGGGTGTGGGTGTGTGGGTGTGTGGGGAGAGATGAACTGGGGGACTTATATGCATATAGGCATAGCCCATGGTCACAGACAATATTGTGATGAAGGTGGGGCTGTTGCTTGGTCATTGGGAGAGAATAGGGGGGCTTCTGTAATACTTTCAACAATAGAGATAAATGCTGAAACAGAGCAGGAGAAAGACAATGGATGAAGGCCATGAAAATGGTGCCCTTGAGAGACTTGGTAGCAGGAACAAGGGTCCCTGACAGGACGAGACGCCTCCTCACCCTGTTGTGGTGTGTCAGTCAGATCCCAAGCATGGGCACCCACTGGGACTTCATGCTCACACCTTGGTCAGCGGAGGACAGGACACCATCGGTGATAGTCGCATCATGCTGCAGACAATGGAAAAGGGTGGTTGCCTTCCGTGTAAAAGGGAAGACAGTTACCTAAAGAGGCGACAAGAACATGCTGGATGGCAGAAAACCAAATGCCAATGACATCCCCTTCAGTGAGCTCAGTATGGAAATTAGTTCCCTTATTGTTCACACTCATGGCTCCTTGTCATTTAATTGCACATCACTTATCGCAATTTGCAACGAAATAGTGATGT